CTTGTTGATGTGATCAATTATACTAATTGATTTGCGTATATTGAATCAGCTTTGCATCCCTGAAATGAATCCTGTTTTGATCATGGGGTATGATTTTCTGGATAAGTTGTTGAAGTCAATTGGCCAAAATTTTGTTGAGAAGTTTAGCATCAATGTTCATCAAAGAAATGGGTCCATAGTTCTCTTTCTTTGATGAGTCCCTGCCTGCTTTTGGGCTGAGGGTTGTGATGACTTCATAGAATGAGTTCGGTAGTGAACTTTCTCTTTCAGTTTCTTTGAAGAATTGAAAGAATATTGGTGTGAGCTCTGCTTTGAAGGCCTTGTAGAATTCCACTGTAAATCCATCTAGTCCTGGGCTTTTCTTAGATGAGAGGTCTCTTATTGCTGTTTCTATTTCAATGCTTGATATAGACCTGTTAAGATGGTTTAACTCATCTTGATTTAGTTTCAGCAGGTTGATATTTGCTAGGAAAAGGTCCATTTCTGCCAAGTTCTCAAACTTATTAGCATAAAGGTTTGAGAAGTATTTCCTTATAATGTTCTGAATCTTGGTTGTTTCTGTGGTAATGTTTCTATTCTCATCTCTGAGTTTATTAATTTGGGTGTGTTCTCTTCTTTTTCTGATAAGATTTTCTAAGGGTCTGTCAATTTTGTTAATTTTTTCAAAGAACCAACTCTTTGTTTTGTTGATTCTTTCTATGGTTTTTTGGATTCTAATTCATTTAATTCTGATTTAATTTTAATTATTTCTTTCCGTCTACTCGATTGGGGTTTATCTTGCTGCTCTTTTTCAAGGAGGCTCAGATGTCTCATTAAATTGTTGGTTTCAGATCTCTCCAATTTGTTGATGTAGGAGCTCAGAGCTATAAACTTGCCTCTGAGTACTGCCTTTGCTGTGTCCCAGAGGAGCTGGTAATTTGTGTGTTCATTTTTGTTGAATATCATGAACATTTGAATTTCATTTCTAATCTCTTCCATGACCCACTGGTGATTCAACAGTATGTTGTTCAGCTTCCATGTGTTACAGGACTTTCTTTGGTGACTTTTGGTGTTGAGTTCTAATTTTATTCCCTTGTGGTTTGAGAGAATGCAAGACATAACTTCAATATTTCTGAATTTGGACAAGTTTGCTTTGTGACCTAAAATGTGGTCTGTTTTGGAGAATGTTCCATGTGATGCTAAGGAAAACGTGTATTCTGATGTTGCTGGGTGAAATATTCGGTAGATGTCTGTTAAATCTTGTTGATCTATGCAGATGTTTAGATCTGCAGTTTCTCTGTTGAATTTTGGCCAAGTTGATCTATCTAGTGGGGATAGTGGTATGTTAAAGTCCCCAACAATTAATCTTTGGATCTATGTGAGATTTGAGGAAAAGTAGTGTTTATTGGATAAATTTGGGTGCTCCGTTGTTTGGCGAATTGATATTTAGAATTGTAATATCCTCCTGAAGAAGAGATCCCTTAATTGTATGTAGCAACTTTCTTTCTCTATTCTCACTCATTTAATTTGAAGTCTATTTTATCTGATATTAAGATTGCAACTCCTGCCTGTTTATGGGGGGCATTTGCTTGGTAGATTCTGTTCCAGCCTTTCACTTACAAAATGTGTTTGTTTTTATGGGCAAGGTGTGACTCCTGAAGATAGAAGGATCTTGCTTTTTAATCCAGCTAGACAGTCTATGTTGCTTAATTGGAGAATTAAGTCCATTGATGTTGAGAGATAGGACTGAGAGGTATTTGAGAGTTCCTGCCATTTTATCCACCTTCTTGGGGGCTGTGGCAACTGGGTTCTTCCTATGGTTCTTGGATTCTCAGTTTGGGTGTGGTTTCTTGGCCTTTATTGTGGTCTTGTTGGCTTTCTATGTGTAGGACATCTTTAAATATCTTTTATTAGGGCTGGTTTGGTGGAGATATATTGTTTCAGCTTTTCATGGTATGGAAGGTTTTTATTTGGCCTTCAGTTATGAAGGAGAGTTTAGCTGGGTACAGTATTCTTGGTTGATAGTTGTTTGTCTTTAGGGCATCTGCCATGATCCTTCTAGGTAAATTACATATGCTTTACTTCTTCTTCATTTGGAAAATGAGGATTAAAATACCTGCCTCTGAAATCCATTGTTAGAATTACCTACATTGCTAGGGATGGGGCTTGGTGATAGAAAGCTTGATGAACATTTGTGAGGTTCCAGGTTTGATCTCAGCACTGCAATAAATAAACAAATAGTATCTAGCACAGCACCAGACATCTTACATGCATTTGTTTTAGGTTTTTATTAACTTCTGTAGTCCTTGTTCTTGTTCCTTTGCTTTTAGTCTTCTCTAATAACGCATAGAAGCTGACCCCCCCCACCCCTGCAAAAAGTCCTCTGTGGTCACATAGAAGCTGAAGGCACCAGTCATTCATCCTTTTTGATCACTAGATAACAGCCTTTGTGATCAACAGATGACCTGGGAAGAGCAGAGGCTTTACATCAGACAGATTCATCTTGTGCAACTGAGAAAGGTCTCCTGCCTTTAGCAGAGATGGTGCCTGGGTAACAAACAGGGCCACCCATTCACTCTTTTTCACACTGCAACCTATAGCCTCTGGTGCAAATTCTTCTGTTAGCTGCTTTTGGAATGCATGCATAAAGTTCCTGTATACCTTCTGCAGGGTTCTGGATCCTTATGGTCAGGTCACCCAGGACCTGAAGACCCAAGAAAACAAACCTTTGGCTACTGAAAGCATGTCAGCAGGGAGACATGGTGGTCACTATTTGCTGAGTGACTGCTGTAGCTCATGCCTAAGTCTGATATGAGCCAGGCAAGGCCTTTGTGTATCAGGAAGCAGCCAGTGTGACATGATTATTGAAAGAACTGGCTTTCTGAGACGTGGCTCTGAACAGCTAAGCTTGCTCCCCATTCCACTTCTGCCATGTGTTCCCTTTGCGAAAACCTTGAGTCAAGATTTTTTTTTGCAATGAAATAATGGATTTGAAAGTATCTTAAAAGCTTTAAAGTACTTTACAAATGATTATTCATTTAAGACACTTCTGTGGTCAGAACTTAGAATGAGCAACACTATTTAGAGTCTGAAAAAAAATATATGTTTTCTAGCTATTTCCTTTATTCATTCAGCAGACATTATTCTGAACCTCATGACTGTGAGCTAGACATTTGAATACAATGCTAATACGCAGACAAAGACTTTGGTTTTGCGTTGTGGAAATGATGGACAATGAGTTTGCTAATAAAACACATAAAATGGTACAATAAGTGACCTCATGAAAGTGCTTGCTGTATTGCATAATTATAGGATAAACATATTTATATAGCATACTCACAAGAAGCCCTTCAAGGAAAGGATATTCAAAATAGAACTCGCAGGGTCAATTGAGCCCACTATGGGGAAAGCAAGAAAAAGAATGCTCCAAGAAGAAAAATTACTAGTGCAAGAGTTCCAAGGCAGAAACAAACTTAGCAAGATCACAGAATATAAGGAAGACAAGGTAAACACAACACAGTGGGTGAGGAGAGAAGGGAAGACAATTGAAAGCTTAAAAAAAAGATTAATTAGACTTTGCCAGAGAACCATGCAGACATTCAGGTACAGAGGACAAAGAAAGGTTTATTGCCAGGAAAGGGGGCCAGCAAGACTCCTTCTCACAAGGGACAAGTGAGAAGAAGCACCGGCTATTTTCTGGGGTGACCTGTATAAACTAAGAGGTTTAAGAGGGGCTAGGAGGGGCTAGGAGGCAGAGGCCCTAGTGTGGACATGTGGGTCAGGGGCTTCATCATGGTGGACTAGGATTTATGGCTGCTATCTAAATAGTAGATAAGGGTCCTGCAACTTCCCAGACCTGAAGGCCACTCTAAGGAGCTCTTGTTGCTTTCTATGGTGGTAGCTGCCCCAGAGAAGTGCCCCTCAGCTCTTCAGCTCAAAGCTAGAGCTCTACCTCTTGAGTCATAGTACCACTTCCAGTTTTCTGGTGGTTTATTGAAGATAAGAGTCCCATGGACTTTCCTGCCCAGGCTGGCTTTGAACTCAAATCTCAAATTTCAGCCTCCTGAGTAGCTAGGATTACAGGCATGAGCCACAGGCACCCAGCTTCGTCATACTTTTTATAGATATTCAGTGCCTGCTGAATGAAATGCAAGAATCCTTTACTATAATATAGTCTCTTCAAGATGTACAATTAACTTAGTTTCCAACTAGAGTTTGAATTCAGGGGCTTTTTAGACACTCTGCCACTTGAACTACAACTTTAGCCCTTTTAGCTCTGAATATTTTTGAGGTAGAATCTCACTTTCTGTCTGAGCTGAACTAGACAATGACCCCATAAATATGCATCCTGTATAACTGACCATTCACAAACCATTATGCCCAGCCTTTCCTATTGAGATGGGGGTGGGGAATCTCATGAACTTTTTGCTTAGGCTGACCTCAAGCCACTATCCTCCTAATCTCAGCCTCCTAACCTTAGTGTCCCCAGTAGCCAGGCTGATAGGCACAGCTGCTGGCATCCAGTCCCCATTAAAACGATGGTGAAATGAACTGAATTACATGCCTTCTCAGCTATGTAATTCTCACTGTCAATCTCAAGCGCTTTTGCAGTGAACAGGGTCTCTGACACAGTAATTGGCTGTTTATTTTGCATTGACTCTTAAATACTAAGAGTGATTCTCTTAGCAAAGCGTTACTCATTTATTCTTTGATTCATTGGATCACATCATAAATTATGATTAAATGATGTATAACAACTTTATTCTGAACAGTATGGGAAAAAAGTGATCTGTAAAGATGAAGAGGTGAAAGAATAAACTGGGATTATTGCTGGGATTAAATGCTTTTTATGTAAACACAATGCATACTGTATGTTCCATTCTTTTTATTTCATAGTAGAAACAAAACTATTCACTACCAGTAAGAGAACTAGAAATTTTTCCAGGGATGGTGAGACTTCCAGAAAGTAGATACCTTATGTTTATAAAATAATCTCTCTTCTATTTCTCTTGCTTGGCCAGGCTGTAACAATATGCTGATGGGTATAAAGTCCCTGAAAATAGTGAAGAAGACAATGGACACAGACGGCTCTTGGATGAAAGATGCTGGCAGTGAGTCTGCGAAGGTGTATTTACTAATTGGATCCAGAAACAATACTGTCTGGGAATTTGCAAACTTACGAGCATTCATGGAGGACAGCACCAAGCCAGCCCCACGGAAGCTAATTCTGCCTCTCTCCTGGAAGGGATCAGGTCAAGTGGTCTATAAAGGCTTTCTATTTTTTCACAACCAAGCAACTTCTAATGAGATCATCAAATATAATCTACAGAAGAGGACCGTGGAAGACCGAATGCTACTCCCAGGAGGGGCAGGGCGAGCGCTGGTTTACCAGCATTCTCTGTCCACTTACATTGACCTGGCTGTGGATGAGCATGGACTCTGGGCCATCCACTCAGGCCCAGGTATCCAAGGCCATTTGGTTCTCACAAAGATTGAGCCTGGCACACTTGGAGTGGAGCACTCATGGGACACACCATGCCGAAGCCAGGATGCGGAAGCCTCATTCCTCTTATGTGGGGTTCTTTACGTAGTCTATAGTTCTGGTGGCCAGGGCCCTCATCGCATCACATGCACCTATGATCCCCTGGGGACTATCAGGGAAGAGGATCTGCCCAACTTGATTTTCCCCAGGCGGCCAAGAACACACTCCATGATCCATTACAACCCCAGGGATAAGCAGCTCTATGCATGGAATGAAGGAAACCAGATCATTTACAAACTCCAGACAAAGAGAAAGCTGCCTCTGTAATAGTGAATGGCCTCTAGGAGAGAGAGCAAAATGGCTGTCCAGGACACTGAAGCCACAACCCCTTGATGTAGTAGCATTCTCTTATCACACCCAGGAATAGGTCTAGCGAGTGAATACATGTATGTCTTTCCCAAATGTCACAGACTTAGCTAGTTTCCAGGAGCTTAGGAATTTTCAACATCTATTTTTCATTCCCACCCCCAGTTCCCCAAGGTCTCCTACCTTCTGAGCTTATTTCCAGCCTTCTTTTTCTGCTTTCCTTCATTTGTTATAAATCTGTCTCTCCTCCTCAAATAATCAGAATCCTGCCTCCCTCGGATACTTATTGGCTTTTTCTCCTCTGGCCTTTGATCAGGCTCAAATGCTTACAAACACCCTTTCAATTTTTTTTTATCCTACAGCTAAATTATTATTTCTTATTGACATTTATTTTCTTCTTTATTTGTGCTTTCCCCAAGTTGGTAGAGATAGTAATAGAGTAAGAACGTGAACATTTTGAATGACAACGTCTGTATGTTATTTTCCTTTCCAACCTTGTGAGATGTGTACAAGTCTTTACAAATTGCTGTGATGAGGAGAAATATTTAGGTGAGTTATTCAAAGTAGCACAACTGTAAAATTAAAGAGCTAGAAAATACCACAAATCTTTTGGTTTTTACATCACCCAAGGAAATATCAAATATGTATTATTTGTTCACCCCACCCTTTATAATCAATGTGTTCATTGGTTCAGCTTTAAAATAATAGTCTCTTCCTTTTGCCAAGTTTTTACATCTGCAAAATACCTTTTTATAGGTATTTCCTACAGAAACCCAGCCTGAGGGTGAAGACCCCCACCTCTAGCCTCATCTTGTCTTACTGTCATCTGCTCCTCTCTTCTTGGTTTAAATACAATAAAAATGACATTGAGCAAATAACCTCATCAAGTTGTATTTGCCTACATACCCTCAGCATCAATAGCTTTCAGGGAGTACTGCCTGTGTTGAGTTTACTATGAACAATCCCCAACACACAGAGGCTCTTAGTAAATATTCTGGAATCTGGAAGGAAGCCAGATAGCAGGCAAGTCATTCTGCCACAGCAGGCATGCTGTGTGGCTCAGAGGGCAGCCTGCCTCTCAAGAGGGGCTTCTTCAACGTGTCTCCCATGTGTGTATGTGTCCAATTCAGCTGAGTGTGGGTCACAAGTGCAGGTTGCAGTGCCAGTCTGTGTCATGTGCTGAGACCTCTGTCTTTCCAGGTTGGTCACATGAGAGGACTTGCTTTGTATACTTGCAGCTGTTTCCCTGCCTTTGCCAAGCCTCAGTCAGGATCATAGGCATGAAGAGAGATTTCTTTTCCCTTATGGGAAACAGATCTTCAGCAGAATAGAATAACCCAATCTATGGGTACTGTGTAATGACTCCCAGTTTAATGGAATGGCATAGAGAGCCCACATCTTTTGTGAAAAGAGGCAAGTATGAATGGGTAGATGAGGGGATAGTATTCTCTTTATAGGTCTGTGGCTATTACCTGCCCCATGGGTAAAGTCACATTACCTATTTCGCAAATACACAGAAAGTGATTGCCTCACAATGCAAGTTGGAATTACCAACCATATGTGCAGGAAGGATTTGTGCGTGTATGGTTCCTTTTGAGGAAGAGGAGAGTGTCTGTAATGTGCTGTCTGGCTTCCCTTTGGGATGTGCTTGCATTTGACAGATATGCAAGATACACCTGCCTCTAACCACTCACCCTGGTACCTTGAATTCCTGCACCTAGAATTCCTCTTTTGGGTCAACACAGTTTCTCCAGGAGGCTTCTGTTTATGCCCCCTTGCTTGACAGCACGCAGGCTTGCAAGCACCTTGGGTAAATTTCAGGTGTACATTTCCATTCTGGTGTCTTCTATTGGATTCCAATGAGCATCAATGTCTATGTGACCTACAGCAGTGATTATTAAATTTTGTGGCACATAAGAATCACCTTGAAAGCTTTTGAGAGTTTTAATATCCAGGTCACACTTCTATCCATTAAAGCAGACCCTCAGGAGGTTAAGATCCTCCCCCCTCCCCCTTCCACCCCCATTAGTATTTTTAAACCCCTTTCCCCAAGGTGGTTCCAAAATTCAAATAAGCTTGAGAACCAGTTACTTAATATATTTTAAAAAGTAATTGCTGCCTGTAACTGACATCTGAATTGAAACTCCTTGTACAACCACTTAAGGATAATAACAACAATAAAGCAATCATATAGTTCTAAAACAACTTAGTGTTTTCTAGGGGACCAAGGTAAAGGCAGCAAGTCTCTTGAGATAGCACATGTGGGATTTGGAAACACCCGTGAACTCACATGAACTGTGGCAACAGGCTCCTTGTCAGAAAGTCCCTCTGCTGCTATTTTAAGGAAGTGAAAAGAAAACTGAAGAGTGTCCTGCTGTAACACAACTCTTGTGGGCCCCAGCTTTCCTGGCTGGCTTTACTCCTTCTCTGTTGCTGGTCAGGTTCCTGCAGGGACTGACTACCGGTGTACTGTTTGCCAAGGCAACTTATGTTCCTTTCACATGTACAAATCTCTGGGCACACTAGTACTTTCAGATCATTAGGGTCAATTTGGTTTGAAAAAAAAAAAAGATGTGTCCCATGGTCTGTCAACATTCTAGCTTACACAGAGGCCAGGCCTCTGGTGACTCTGGGGACTATGCCAGAGTCCCCGATGTTACTGCCACTTGAAGCCCATGAGGGATTTTAATCAGCTAGCCTGAGCCATTGGGCCTGGGAGGCGCCAGCAGGGCAACTGGCAGCAAAACCTGAGGCTGCATACAGGGTAAATGCTAGACCCAGTCCTCCTTGATTTGAGAATTCATCACTAAAGCTTTTCTTGGGCCTAAGGGTGCTGGGCACAGGAAGTGCTCCTGGTCCTTAGCCATTTTTCAAGATTGAGCACTGAGCTTTTTGCCACCAACCACTAAAGCCCAGCCAGACACCTAGAGCACCTCATTTACATAGGGGAACTCTTCCCAGCTTGAAGGGAGACTACAGCAAGCAGGTGGGGCTCTTAGGGGGCGTGGTCTGCACGAGGGGGCGTGGTTCCACAGAGGGGCGTGGTCTGTCTTGGAGGGCCGGGCTTGAGGCGGGCTCGGGGGGGCGGGGCTTGACAGGTCGGTCCCAGAGGAACAGGAACCCGGTCGCCCGGGTCCCAGCGGGCGACTCGGAGCGAGGAAGAGTGAGTGACAGCAGCGGGGCGGTCCCAGGGGAGGTCCCCTGGGTGAGAGAGTGACTCTCCCGGACGAGCCTCCCGCGGGGGGGGGGGGGGGTCCCCGCCCCCGTCACGTGGACGCCGGCCCCGGGCAGCCGCTGGGCTGGTCGGTCCGCCAGTTCGTCAGTGTGGCTGGGAGCCGGGTCCTCTCAGGTTCCCCGGCGAGAGTCCGGACGCGGAGCGGCCACGCACCTGAGCCGGTTGGAGAGCAGCCGCGGCCCTGCAGCCAGGTCAGTGCCCTCGGCCTGCGCTCGCCATGGTCGGGACTGGGCTCACCGAGGTGGGCAATGCCTGCGGGGATCCGAGAACCCACCCAGGACGTGGGGCAAGGCGGGGTGTGGGGGGGGCGCGAGGAGGCGCATCTGCAGCAGACCTCCATCCCACCCTGGCCGGGGATCAGAGAGACCCTCCGCACCTCCTACAGGTGCCAGCCCGGCCCTGAGCTGCTGGGGGCGGTCGGTTACCGCAGGAGTTCTGAGCCGGTAGATCCCAGCTCAGCCTGGTTCCGGGAGCCAGCAGCTGAGTAAACTCCGGAGCCCAAGGTGGTAGGGAAGTTTTTTCCCTTTTCCTTTCCCGAGGCTACTCTGTGTCACCGAGTCCGTGTGCAGGTACGAAGCGCCTTGGGCTGAAACCCGCGCTGCTCTGCCGTGGCTAACCGTGCCACATGCCTTCTGCAAAGGCTCCAAGCCGCCGTGCAGTGCAGGACTGGGAATGGTCCTATGTGAAATGGGTTCTCTTCCCTTCTAGCATGCCTCCGCTCCAGGCCCACTGTGTTTCCTCTAATAAATACGATTATTTATTAAAATAGGAGGACTGCCCAGGTTTGTGCAGGATTGAAACAGGCATTCTAGCCAGTACATATATATACATACATACATACATATATATATACATACATACATACATATATATATATATATATTAAAGAGCATCTGGATCTTGGGTTTAGATGCATTCCCATATTTTGGTCTACTTCCTTTCTCATCATCTCCGTCCTCCCCTCTTTCTTAATTGTATTACAGAACGGACATGTTTGTTATTTATGGTGTATTTTGCAAAGTTCGGTGTTTCCACTACAGAAACGTAGTTGGTCACAGAGACCATTTATTTCCACTCTGCGATTATTGTTAGTTTGTGGAAAATACTAAATGTGACCCGATTTAGAAATTATTTCCCTCTTGGGCTTGAGAGAGGCAGCTCATTTGTATTGTGTTTATGTTTATATTTTTAAATTACTTTTGAAGTGGGAGGCGGGGATTTGTGAGTCTTTTATTGCTTTCTCTGGAATTTTATTTCAGGAATGGGCTTACAGGCTTGGGCATTGCCTGGGGGTAACCGAGAGCCCCCAAATCCAAGAACTGCACAGAGTGTGAGGTGGGGAGCCAGTGTTTCTCTAAACTCCCTATTTGGGTGGGGGTGGTGGTGGGTGAGTGCTGAGTATTGAACCTTGGGGATTGAACACATTCTAGGCCATTTCTGGACCATTGAACTATATCCCTAGCCCTTATATAGCATATTTTAGCTAGTAGTAGTTCTTTGGGATTTGGTGATGTGGCCATTATTAGCTTATTGCTACTTAGAAAAAAACATTGAATGTTTGATCCCTATGGGGATAGTCAAGGCCAATATGCTATGATTTTAAGATTGAGTGGAATGAAATAAATGAAAAAGGCAGGGACAAAGTTGTGGAAGTTTTATATGAACAGGGAAAATTTGAGATAATTGTAACAATGCGTGACATATATTTGGGACGGAAGGGGTTTCTCTTGGATTTCTCCCAGCAGAGAAAGATAAAGGTGATGTGAGCAAGGCATGCTAGGACCACTCCTGAGAAGTGGCCAGTGGTCTACCTTGGCTCCCATAACAGCTGGTAGATTAAAAAAAAAAAAAAGCTAGTGATACAGATAGAATATGGTCTCAGCTGGCCATGAAGGCCAGGTGCCACGGTCTGGACTTCAAAAGCAAGGGAGTCAATATTGAATATTGATTTAGGGTTCTTTGAGCTTCTCAAAGTCAGAGACCTTGGCCCTTGGCCTTTGTTAGTCCCACAGAAAAAAACAGTAAATATTTGTGGAATGAGCCATTTGAGGCCACCCGAGAAAGCAGCATTTCTCAATCTTTTATCATCGGCCTGAGAATCACCTGTAATCTTCAAGTGCAGATTTTCGTTCAGTAGGTCAGAGGTGGGACCTGCATTTCTGCCTGGGAAGGTACCTATGATGAGAGTGTGGGTTAGTAGTATTCAGGCTGTCTTGGTCTCAGAATTACTTGGGGGAGCTTTGTGGAACTTGTCAGCTTAACTAGGTCTGGGATGATTTTCGAATTTCTACTCTACTGTTCTGACTAATATCTCAGGTGGGGAAGGCTTGGGGGAAACAGTGATCAAAGAGAGAAAGCAAGTGGGGAAACTGGAAAGCCAATTCAGGTTACATGAGATGAGATGGGGCCTTTGGGGGGACAGGGCTGAGAGGATGGTGACATGAGGACAAGAGAAGTGATTTTGGAAAGATAGAATGCACAGGCAGGAGGTGTCAGTCACTGGACTGATTGGACAGGACAGTATCTGAGGAGAGAGGGCCAATTTGGGGACACTTCAACTTTGGGCATGAGGTATGATGTGCTCCTTAGGAACTGGTCCTTTGGTGGATCCTATAAGGCAGTGGAGGAGAAGGAAG